ATAATCGCTGTTAGCAATTGGTTGTATTATATTTTCAGATATTTTCTAAGAGTGATGTAATGAATGAATTAAGTATCTAATTGGAACATTATATTATAGCTTAACCTCTTCAACTTTGTAGTTTAGAGTTTGGTAACATAATAATGGATTTATGGTATTTCAGTGATCAGTTTATTGCTCAATTAAGTTATGTAAAAATATTGGTATTGTGCTCGCTTTGGCAGCACATAAACTAAAATTAGAACGATACAGAGAAGATTAGCATGGCCCCTGGGCAAGGATGACACACATTCGTGAAGTGTTCCATATCTTTTTTAATTAAAAAATAATAAAAATAAAAATATTGGTATTGTCACCAGTCTTACAGAGTACATTCTTAGACATAAAAGATTATGCAATTGTCCAAACAGTCACTTTCTTTAAATATTTTAATGTTTCAAGGTGCGATTTGGGTAAGAAAAATGTATTATAATGTATAATTACCAGGTTATTAGCTATGTTTATTTTTAAGGCTTTAATGCCTACTGAATTCATAACCCTAGATAATTGTTTATCTTCTCAACAATGGAATATAAAAGCCAGTTTTCCCACTTTCTTATTACCCTTAGATATAATAACCGATTTCCAAAATCCTAAGCAATCACAAGTTTTAGGTCCTGTGTAATTACACAGAAAGTATAACATTACCAAAAGTCACATCACAGATTCTAGGAAAGTTGTTAAGGAGCCTTGTTATTTTAGATGTCTAAGAACACATCAAAAGAAAGCACAATTTGCTCCTAAAGCATTTCATGTGTATTGGGTAGGTAATCAAATTTTCTCTCAGTATATCTGTCATATACAATATGTGCATTTAATTGGCCTGTTTTTGACATCTACTTCTATGTTTAATTGTTAAGTAGTTTTTCCTTTTAATTGTGAATTTTAAGTACAGTGTTTGTCAGGCCAGTTAATTTTATGGTTCCCTCCCCTCTTTTAAATAGTTCCTGAATGTTCCAATGTTTCGAAATGTCTCTCTAAAGTGCCTCACTGAGATTGCTGGTGTGAGTGTAAGCCAATATGAAGAACAATTTGTAACGCTATTTACTCTGACAATGATGCAACTAAAGCAGGTAATGTAATACTGTCTTGAAAATTGAACAATTTTAGTGCCTTAGAAAATACTGAATTTCAAATGAGCTGTTTTAGAACAACGTGTCATAGATTAGCCATAATGTTATTTTATATTTACTACATAAAATTTATAGTGAGCTACAAATTTTTACCATATCTCCAAAAATTTCTTAAAATTCAAGATTGGGGTGTGTTGTAATTTATTTCTGCATAGTTGAGGAGCTTGGTCCTTTGGGAGGAATCTGATCAGACAATGGGAAACCTGGGATCTGTTCCTAACATTGTGTCTGGAGGAATTCTTTTCAGCCATAGTTTGATTGTTTATCTATCTATTAAATGATCTAGAAGGTTATTCGTAATACTGTGTTCATGGCCAGGAGTGGTGGTTGACACCTATAATCCCAGAACTTTGGGAGCCCAGGATGGGAGGACTGGTTGATGCCAGGAGTTCAAGACCAGCCTGGACACCATAACCAGATCATCTCTATAAAAGATTTAAAGTAGCCAGCTGTGGTGTTGCACATCTGTAATTCCAGCTACTCCGGAGGCTGACGCAATAGGATCTCCTGAGCCCATGAGTTCAAAGTTAAAAAGAGCCGTGGTCATACTACTGCACTTTAGCCTGGATGACAGGGCAAGTTCCTGTCTCTTTAAAAAA